CACACACACACACACACACACACACACGGCACACTTCACTCAGCTGAAGTCAACTTCTCCCTCAGGTCATAGCTTAAATGTCACTTCCTCAGGGAAAGCTTCCCTGCCCTCTCACACAGAGTAAGTTTGCTCCCCCGTTTTGCCCTCTGTGTGATTCCCCTACAGCACTTCTCACAGTGACAATCACATGATTCCTTGTTGACTGGGCGTCTCTGCCCTCCAACTAGGAGCTCTGTGAAGTGGGATGAGTCCCAACCAACAACCTAAGCCCGTTGCCACCAGATCCTTCTGACTCACGCAATCTTGTGTATTACGGAGAACTGTTCCATAGGGTTTTCTTGGTTTATGGGTTCAGGAGATACACGTTGCGCTGCTAACCACAAGGTCAGCTGTTTGAAACCACCAGCCACTCCATGGGAGAAAAATGGGGCTTTCTACTCCCATAAAGTTACAGTCTCAGAAACTCACAAGAGCAGTTCTACCATGTCCTGTAGGATCACTATGAGTCAGCATCATCTCGATGGCAGTGAGTAATCCTTTTTATTTTTTAATCATTTTACTGGGGCCTCGTACAGCTCTTATCACAATCCACACATACATCCATTGTGTCAAGCACGTTTGTACATCTGTTGCCATCATCATTCTCGAAACATTTGGCAGTGAGTAATCTTTACAGAAGCGGATCACCAGGCCTTTCTTCCACAAGGCCAATGAGTCCGTTTGAACCTTTAGATGAGAGCTCAAGGGCAAATCATTTGTGCTACCCAGGGATCATAGAAAACTCCAAACTAAACTCCCTGCCATCAAATCAATGCCAACCCCATAAGTCAGGGTAGAACTGCCCCTGTGAGTTTATAACTACAACTCTTTAGAGGAGTAGAAAATCCCATATTTCTCCCATAGAGCGGCTGGTGGTTTAGAACTGCTGACTTTGAGATTAACAGCCCAACATGGAACCACTAAGCCACCAGGGCACCTTTGGATCATAATAGGCACTCAATGGATACTTTAAAAACTCAAGGGCATTGGTATGGAGCAGCTATTGTTAACTACTAATGATAATCCTATGCCTTTCTTCTTCCCTGCACTCAGTCCTTTAGCCTTTCTGCAGTTCAACGCACCACGCCCTCGCCTGCTCCCTCCGCCTGGAGTTAGAGCTGCAGGCCCAGCTCCCTTACCTCTGCCAGGTCACAGCTCAAATTGCTCCCTCATCAGCGTGGTTTTCCCTGATGGTCCTACTAAAATAAGAACCCCCTTTCCTGGAGCGCCTTTATCTTTTCCCCTCAGCTTGATGCTTTAATTTCTCCACCCCTACCCCCTACAGCTCTTATCAGCAACTGTCATTCTATGTATTTTTCTTATTTATTCCTTTCTGGTCTCTCTTCACCGGAACATCAACTCCACAAGGACAAGCGTATGGGCCTGGTTTTGCTCACTGCTGTATCTGCAACACTGAACTCCAAACCAAACCCGTTGCCACCAAGTTGATTCCAGCTCATGGCAACCCCAGGGGTGGCAGCGTGCAACTGACACTTCATAAGGCTGTCAAGACTGGGACCTTTCATAAACAGAATGCCAGGCCTTTGCTTCTAGTCATCTCTGGGTGTGTTTGAACCACTAACCTTTGGTTTAGAAGTCAAGAGCTTAATCCTTCACATCATCCAGGGCCTCCTTGAAACACCTAGCAAGCAAGATCTAAGTACACGTCGGCTGCGTAGATGGATAGGTGATGGGCAGTACTCCCCTACACTTGCTCCTGGCTACAAACTTTTCAAGGTTCTTCCACATGCCCAATTCCAGCCGATCCTCGCCCCAAACTCTGATGCTCATCTAAGCATGACAGAAAACCAGCCTGAAGGGTCTTGGTGGTTTTACGTGGCTGGCCCAGGTTACAGAAATCACAAGTACCAAGTCGGCCTCAGACCGCAGGCTTCCTGGGGAAGACAGGCTGCTGACAATACCCTTACAGAGTCTCCTAGCGGAGGCCCAGGTGAGAAGTATGTGAGGATAAGTGGATTATGATGCACAAATGCCTAGGCTGAGCTACTCGTCTCACAGGGTACCTTGAGGGCACCTTGACTTCCCTCTCCCCACACACACCCACACACCATACACACACAGCCATACTTAAATCTGCTGAGTTGGCAGCCTTGGCATTTGTACTCTGCAGGTGAGAGCGCTGACCCCAGGTGGCCACAGGAGCAGATGCTCTAGAGCTGTACTCCAAGTATATAGCCCGCCCACTGCCTGGAGTCAATTCTGACTTACAGCGACCCTCTAAAGGGCATTTGAGGCTGTAAATCTTTGCAGGAGCAGACAGCCTCCTCTTTCTCTTCTCTTCAGCAGGAGCTGGAGGGTTGGAAACACTGACCCAAGTACACTGCCAGAGCTCCTAGACATATGCCCCGGAGTCCATGGTGCAGAAGCCAGGCTGGGGATCCTTCTTCACACCCGGAAACACCTGCTCCAGGCTCATCCTGAGCCAAGTTCTCTCAGTTCTGCCCCAAGTTATCTCCAAGCAACATGCCCATCAACCCCTTCACACCTTCATCAGCCCTCTGCCCTCTCCAATACACACAAGATACGGAAGCCAAAGCTTTTGGTCCGGCTGGCATCTGGAAAAAGTTGTCCAAGAAAGCCAGCTCTTCAAAATACTTCCTTAGAAGTAGAACCTGGGGATGAGACCAGGTTTCGACCTTCAGCATGGTTAGTTACTAACCACATGACCTTGGGCACGTTCACTTATCTTGCCTGAGTCAGTCTCTTCGTCTGTACAATGGGGCTAATAATGGCTGTGAGCCAAGACTCTAACAGGACCCGTCACAGCGAACACACTTGGTAAACATTAGTTCTTCATCTCACCCTACATCACTTCCAATACAACCTCTGCCGGTTTCCAAGAGATGGAAGGACAGGAGAGTCATGAGCTAGAACACGTGTCTCCCCAGCCAGTCAGACGCCGGGCTCTATCAGTCCCTGTGTCCTCACTGTCAGTCCTGGGAACTGCCAGGGACAGAGACCAGAGCAAGTCCTCCACCCCACCCTCCCATGACATTCTGCTTCAGCCTCTTCCTGTCCTCCAGCCCACTGCCCTTTTCCCATTCACCAACCTCCCTGTGCCCACCCCGACCCCCCATTGGCTCAGACCTCTGCTTTCAAAACACCTGTTTCTGGCCATATTCCCAGACCCCTGAGAGCATATCCTAGCATCTGACTCATACCCACACAGCAAGGGGCAAACACTGTCCAGAAGAATGCATGACCCTTCTAAGAACGTGCTGAAGCCCCAAGGGGATAGCTTCAAGGCTCTGGCACTACCCAACCAACTACAACCACCACCACCGCCCGCAGGGGTTCCACCCCAGGCACTGCCCATACCGCTGACCTTTGGGGCTCCCAGCGCCCCCCAAGCCTGGCTGGAAATGCAGGGATGAGGTGGGAACACAACTGAAAATGACAAAGCCTCTCCGGAACCCAGGAAGCCCTTCATTCCCGGACAACTCACCTCCCTCTTCCCCACAGTCAGGCTCCTAACTTGTGTTTCTGACCTCTTGCTCCCCTGGGCCCTGGTCTCTGCACTCTCTCACAGAGCTGCAGCTCCGGTCGCTCACACGGCCACGGGGCAGCAGCCCTTCCCCCAGCTCGTGCCCTCCCACCCCCTGGGCAGTCCCAGGCCCGGTGCCTCCTAACCGCGGCTCCCGCTCGCAGCCTGAGCCGAGTCTGAAGCAGGCCACAGCCCAGCCCTGAGGAGGGCCCGTCGCCTTCGCCCAAATCCTCTTCCGGGCCGCCTACCGTGGTCCCGTCCCGGGAGCCCGCTTGCCCCTGCCCTCCTTGGCAAAAGGAGGCTCCAGGGGATAGAACAGCAGGATTTCAGAAAGTTCGCGGCAGAAGGCACTGCCCAGGCGGGGCCCTTCAGTGCCAGTACCGCCCACCGTGCTGGAACGTGGGCCTCAATTCCAGGCCTTCCCAGATGCGGAGGAGCCTCCCTGCGGATCTATAGGTCCCGGGTGGCCCCTTCCTCGGGCTCCCAAAAGGCTGCAGCAGGCTTCCCACCAGACCCCACCCAACACAGCCCCCATTCGGTTCCTCACGGGGTACTCTGGTGGGGAGAGGGCGGGATGTGAGGAGAGGGTCCACTACCGCCGATTCCACCTCGAAGCTTGCAGTCCCGCCCGCCCTGAGCCAATCTGCCCACCTCAGCGCACCCAGCAGCAGGGGGAGGAGAAGGGAAAGCGGACCCCACCCCTTCATTCCAAGGCTTTGGGGTAAGAGGATGAAGGGGGAAGGTGTTCCCACAGGCCCGGGGGAGGGTGGTCTCTGTCTGCCCAGCCTCCCTCTCCTCATCCCTGAACACAGCCGCACTACCCCAAACTCGAGGCTCACCCCACCACCTCCATTCACCCAGCTTGGCGGCAGAAACTCGGGGCAGCCCTTCCCCCAGCCCCTGCCTTTCCCACTCCCCTGGGCAAGCTGGGAACTCGGAGCGCGTGGAGGAAGGGAAGCGAGTGGAAGGCTGGCGCGAGCCCCGGACCTCGGACTCCA